AATCCACTTACTTGGGTTTAAAAGTGGCTCATGTGATACAGCTGTGCCATTTGGGCATTGGTGTCCCAGCACTGCAGCATCGTAGTCTCTCTCTCTCATTCCCCAGCATAAGAAATCAGTAATTTAGACTAAGAATGCATTTCCATCTTATTGCATTATCTGTCCTTCACTGTGGACCATTCTCTCATTCATATGTAACACGATTCTCTCAGCTCAATTCTAGTAGAATATGGCGGCTTCCCAAATGTAGTAGGAAAAATAGGGATGTGAGATTTACTGAAGGAGAGAAGCCAAGAAGTGTACCCATTTGAAGGTCATTTCTTTTTGCCCTCCATCTCAGAGGATTCAGAAATGTGAGAAAAATTACACTTTTCATTAGACTGGAGCGGGAGTCATGGCCATGCTGACACCCGTGTCTTTGAGGGGCAGCATCTTTTCTCCTCTTCTTGTCCTGGGTTCTCCAAAAGCTGGTCAAGCTGTTTGCCCCTGAGCAATAGGGCCTGACTGAAGAATGAAGTGAAATGTGATTTATTCCCAAATTAGGGTTGTTTGCTTTGGTTTGGCATGGCCAGCCAGCCAGCAGGAGGTACATGCCTTGGCCAGTGCTCCTGAGGTTTGAGCTGAGCTAGAGTAATTTGTTTAAGTGTTTGGTGAGAAGCAGTCTGGTAATCTATGTGCAGGACTGAGGCAAGGAGCTCCTCTTTCCAAACCTGGAGCAGTTGTGTGTATGGCCACGGTTGTTCCCTTTGTAAAGAGAAAAGAAGCTGACTCTGCTGTGTAAGAGGATGGTGAGAATGACTTCTCTTTTCTATAGCTCTGTGAGGATGGAAAGCATAATACAAGCATTGTATACATTTGAAATAATTTTATTGATGGTATTTTTATTTTCAGAATCAGAGGAGGACAAATTTATATTTGAATAGTTCACTTAATTTATGCATTTATCTATTTATGTATTATTCTGCATCACTTAAGGCATCAGGGTGTGAAGTAACACAGAAACATACCATGCACTGCATTTCTAAAAAGACTTTTCTGTCAGTCTACAAGGGCAGTGGTTTTAAGTCTTTATGTTCATAAGGAGAGATAAGAAATTTCAAAATTGTAGTTGAAGTTTTCCCCAATCATCCTTGGGATCCTGGGCCTGTGGTGACAACTAAGAAGACTAGTGGGTTTGGGTTTTTTTTAAATCCTCTCTTAATTTACAAATTAGGCTTTTCTAGGTCCCTCTCAAAAACTCTTCCCATGCTAGAGGACACTTCCCTGTGTCACAGTTGATAGGCACAAGAAGCACTGACTGTCTTTCACTAATATGTGTGTGTTACTGGAACAAGCTACCTTAAAAGCATTATACACAGAGGGTCTGTAAGGAGGGTCTTCAGATTATTTCCCTTGGTGTGAAGGCAGTATCTCTTAGCCAACACATCTTCAGTGCCATAGTCATGTCCCATATCTGTGTCCCCGTTTTGACCATCACAATCCTACTATTGGGCTTTTTCACCCCGTCTCTTTTTTCCCCAGCTAAAGTAGAGTTGTTGAAGACTTAGTATAGAGCACTTGCATTTTGCATCTTGCAGAAAGATTATGCTTTTTTTATACACTCTTGTTCAGTAGTCCCTGAAGAATGGGTTATTTCAAAAGTGATTCTTGAAATATTGAAAAATACTGCCATTAGAAAAGAATTAATCTTTTCTGTACCAAAATGTTCTAAAATTACAAAGCGAGTTCATTAAGTAACAGGTGTATTTTTACAATGTGGGATTAATCCATTCAGCCAAATCAATAGCAATGTGGCAGCCATATGATCATCCAATATTTATGTGTAGGTTGAGCAATGATCTTTCTGGCTAAACTTTGAGCTGTTTCCAGTTTTAAAATGGTGTAGACACAGACAGCTGTTTAATTTGTCAATAAATATACTGAGTAACTAAAATTAATTACCATGAGATCCAGTTTTTAGATAATATACTCTCTGTAGTTAAAAGGAGGCAAATAACAGTTTAATTACCTTTTCATTCCATTCTGAATAATTACAGTGCAAGAAAAGAGCAGCTATATGTCGCTGTACTCAGTAAAATAAAAGGTTCCCAGCCTGTCTTCCCCAAACAAATGCATTCCACCAAAAATACACAAGGTTTTTTTACCTAATGTTTCCCAAATTGGGAGGACAAGCAGAGTGCACACTGCAGATCCTTTTCAGCTGCTCACCAGAGTCTTGGCTTGCTTTCCATTTTATAGAAGTCCATTTCTAGCTATTAGAGTGGTGAAGAAAATGCAGCCGTGTATGCCAAAGGCAGAAAGGTGTTTCCACAGAGTTTGAAATGGTCATTCTGAACTGAAAGGTGTCTCAGGCATTCCAAGTGGAGCCAAGAATAACACTTTCAATATTGATATAGTTAAGTGTCTGACTCCTTTTTAAAGTATGGAAGCAAGTGGAGGAAGTGTATCCAAAAATGTTCACCAACGTTCCCTAAGGCAGGAGGAGGAGTCACAAAGAGCCAGCCAAGGAAGGAGCAGAAGATGAATACATTAAGACATTTAAACCCTTGACAACAGGCACTAAAACTGTAGTGAGGCATAACATTTCTCCTACTTTTCTTAAAGGGCAGCTCAACTTTCAGAAGTTTGGGAAAGCCTCTGTTAATCTTTGTGAAATCCACACCTAGACTGGGAAATGTCAAGGCAAGCCTTTAAATCCTAAATATGCCTTTGCATGTGCCGATCTTGTCTAGGGTTTTGTGATTTTCCTTTATGCACAGAAAAATGCAGGAGGTTCCATAGCAGTTTTTAATCTTTCTTCTCATCTACTGATGTTCAAATTAAATAATGTTGAAACTTAGGAGATGTAATTGTGTTAAAATTGTTTGTTGGTAATCTGAAGCCAATAAACAAACCATATACACTAGCATGTTAAGCATATGAACTGGTGACTCCTCTTATTATGCCAGTCATGTTGCCTACCATAAAAATGTGAATGTGCTGAAGTAAATAATAATAGTATTAATGGCATGTAACTCAGAACTGTTGGCACTGTATTCACACATGCTTGGAGCTATATACCTAGGTTAATTTACCTTCTGGTGAAACTTCTTGCTGTTGTGGATAGATGGTTTCTTTTACTAAGGCTTTAAACCAGACAGTTGCTTTAGTAAGGCTTTGAACCAGACAGAATGAGGGATGGTGTGAAGACACTGCCTTTTGGAGCAAGCTTATTTAAAGCCTGTTCAGGTTTAAAGCCTGCCACACTCTTGTGGAGAAGTTGACTAGGGGGCTTGGCTGAATGTTAATGCAGCTGTTCACTTAAAAATGCTCTTGTTTCCGATTCTTTGTCACAACTGCTAAAGAACAGTATTTTGTTTAAGGCAGCCCCAGATCCCCAAGCTGGGGGCAGGCAGGTAGCCAGAGCCCATCCAGGCTCCCAGGGTCATTCATGGCTGTGCTGGAGGAGCTGAGGGACTGGGGGGATCACAGGAGGGACTAGGGGGTTCACGGCAGGGGACTGCGAATGTCTGGGGAGGGACTGGGGGTGTCCTGAGAGGACCTGGGTGGGGAGTTCATGTGAGGCTGTGGCAGTGTGAGCCACCACTGGGACTGGCTCTGGGGCAGGCCTCGGTGCAGGGGGCCCAGGAGGCAGAGACACAGCAGAGACCACGGAGGGGACCACTGGCACCCAAGTGGCTGTTATTCCCAAGCATTTTTTTCTCTGCCACCTGCATTCAAACCAGGGTCCAAAGAGCCCTGTGTGGTGGGACAGTCACTCTGGGATACCTGAATTTGAAATATCCTGATTTTGAAGACACCTGTCTATGACGATGATGGCTCACATTTTATGTCCACTGTCTTTAAATCACGAGTTACTGTCCAACCCAGCACAGCCTGAACCCCTCTGGCCCTGCAGCTGCGGGTTGGTTTCCACGACAGACGGGTCTCCCCACCCCCCACATCCCGCAGGGACCCCCGTAGGCAGCGGGGCTGGGAGAGCCAGGCCCCCTTCGCACCTCAGCCCCGTGGCTGGAGCTCTCCAGGCTCCAGCTCTTTCAGCATCCCAGCCCAAACGGTGCTGCTGCCGCCTCCCCGGCCGGCCCAAACCCCACTCCAGCCCCGCAGCCCCCCAGTAGGGCCCGTGTCCCCCCACCCGCAGCCCCCCCGCCGCGCCTCAGCTCCGCCGTCACCTTGCTTTACACTGGGATGTAGCCGCAGCCCACTTCTCAGGGAAACAGTGCTTTGTGTAACTGAATTGACATTTGGCCTTGATACCTGTATCTCCTGATAACTGAAACAAATTTCTAAAATAAATATTGTACTTTGATCTTCCAGCCCTGCATTTTTAATGACAGCTCTGAACATCACTTCATTAAGAATACATTTCAGGAGACTGAAATGCTCCGAGTTTGAACACTAATTATTTGTACAGAAAATTATGACTGCAATGTTTCATTATTCAGCCCATTGGTTTCTTCTAGAAATGAGAAATTATTCTTGATTTTTAAGTAACGTACTTTCTTGGATGCAGATTTATGGCATTTGTAGTGTGGCATCTGTATAGAAACTTATTCAACTTTCCACTAACTCTTTTGTAAGTGACAAATCATTTTGGTTCATCAAGATATCTGGGGAGATAACATACCTTACAGGTTGGGGGAACCTCGGGATGCTCAGTGTCTCATGAACTACCTATCGACTCTCATTTCGTTTATAAATACTGTTCAGATTATTCTCCTGACAATTATTAGATAAAACGAATTCACAAAAATCGAGCTAGGAATGAAATCAGGCACCTCGTAGGAGCCCGGGGTTGGCCCAAGTTTGGGGATGTAGAAGTTTAGGGACGACACAAGTGCGAGCGCCGCCGTTTCGCTTGGCGGGGGGGACGGGGTTATTGCTCCCCCAGGAAGCAGAGGTGCGGGTCGGGGTCCCCCCCGGGCTCCGGCTGCCCTGGCTGCAGCCCCGCCGCGAGGGGAAGGCAGGAGCGCTGCTGCCCCGGTGCGGCTGCGGGGCCGCGGCCGGTGGGCCCGGGGCACCGGGGGGTACGGGGGGGTGCGCAACCCCCGGCTGCACGGCCGGCCGCGGCTCGCTGCCCTCGCCCGTCTCCCGCCACGTCCCGCGTGTGGATCGCGCAGCGGGGGTGCTGCGGGGCGTTTGTGTGCGGGGAGGGTGAGGTGCTGGGCCCCGCGGGCAGGCGGAGAACGGGGGGTGCCGCGGGCTCCCGCGCCAGCGGCGGGCGCTGCCTCGCGTGGTGCGGGGCGCCGGCCGCCCTCTTGGCGACCTGGTGGAGCGGGTACCTGGCACAGGGGAAGAGCTTGAAGTGGCTGCTGCGTAGGGGGATCAGCGTTACATGGGGTCGAGCTTTTACTGCTCCCCGGGACTCAATATGGAGCCGTGGGAGAGGACTTGGCACTTTAATCCCTTCAAAGAAACCGATCTAATTCAAGCCCTACAACTCTTGAAAGTCTTTGAGCGGACAGCGATTGTTTCCACAGGAAAGCCAGATAAAGATCTCTGTGTGCTGGCGTTTAGAGAGACTTCTCTGGCGGTGTGAATACAATTGAACCCAGCGACTGCGGGGAGGATCGAGTTACCTGGGCAAACAGCTCTGGAGGACCGGAGCCAGCCGGCATCTGCCCCAAAGGGCACCCCCACCCCCCCCCAGAGAGAGCCGAGCGTCCTCGTTTGGTACCTGGCCAAACAGGCCGGCTTACACGTTCGCGATGGCCTCGGAGCAGATGGGGAAGCGGCGAGGGGAGGGGCGCGGTGCTGAGCGGGGGCGCGGAGGGGCGCGGGCCCCCCCCTTGCGCCTGGCGGGGCGGTGCGAGGGGTTCCGCCGGCCCCGGGGCCGCCGAGCGCGGCAGCGGGCGGTGGCGTTAAGATGTGATCCAGATGTACCCGGTGGCGGTCACCGGGGAAAGAGCCTCGCACACGGTCGAAAGAAAAGCGGGTTAGCTTCTTCGTACGCACACGCGTGCGTACATGTATGCACGCAGGCCGAAAGGTGAGGGGTCAGCGAGCGGAGCCGTCGGGGCCGAGCTTTGTGGCAGGAGCTGGGCGAGAGGGTGGAGGCGGAGACCCGGACCTGCCCCCCGAGCCGCGCTCGGCCCCGGGCCAGGCCAGGCGGGCTCAGCAGGGCGGCTGGGCGCAGCCCGCCTCCAGAAACACCATCACGAGAGACTCCTGTCTTCACGGAAAGAAATTACGTTTTTTACGCCCGGCCCCCGCTAGGAAAGAGGAAACTTTTCCGCTCTGTTTCCCGGCTGACCGGTTGGTCGGCGTGTCTGGCTGCGGGAGGGCTGGCTGCCGGGGACACCCTGCAGCCGGGGCACCCCGCCGTCCCGCTGCCGGGACACCCCGCAGCAGGGGCACCCCGCCGTCCCGCCCCCCAGCCGGCTGGGCGCGCTGGCCGGGCGCGGCTCCAGCTAACGCGGGGTTAGCGCCGGCTGAGCGAAGCGAAACCAAACCCGGCTACCAGAGGGGAAAATGTGCGGTTGTTTGCGAAGTCATATCGAGGGCATACCCCTCAGCCTCGGGGGAAGGGCGGGCAGAGGGAGGGAGAAGGGAGGAACCACCGACAATTACTCCAGGGAAGTTTTACGACTGGGATCGACCAGCCCCGATCAGGTGAACTCGTTGTGCTCCTGTTACTTTGAGTCATTAAACACTATCAGCGGAATCCGGAGGCAGATTTCTCGGGCGATAACAAAGACACATTGTCACTTGAGGGCTCTGCCACAAATCCTTAATTGTAAAAAAAAAAAAAAAAAAAAAAGGGAGGGGGGGATCCAGTGTCTTGCACATCCAATGTGAGGGTCTCCAGGCGGTAAGGGGTCCTTTGATCAAGAAAATCCAATTATTTGTGTATATACATTTCCCACATAGTGATTACTTCATTAATTGTCCCGCCTTTATCTCCTCCCTTCCCATCCCCCCTAATAATCAGTTCTTTTATCCAGACCAACAAACACACCATAGGAGCTTTGTGGATTCAAAGGATTTGCTTTCGCTTCTGAAAGAGCCGCTATTCTTTGATGATTGGGTAGCGGCAAACTTCAAAGCCATAAATCTTCCCTCTGACTGGCTGGCGGCCCAGCAAAGTCCTTATCAAATTCTTGGAGGTGATCCTGGTGCAGTCAGACAGTCCGCGGAGATCGCGCAGCGCGGGGGGGTGGGACGGGCACAGCGGCGAAGAGATCAGAGGGAAGGAGGGAGGGAGGGAGAGAGAGAGAGAGAGAGAGGGAAGGAAGGAAGGAAACTGGGCAGCTCTTCGTCTTCCCCTCGGCGTCCCCATGACTCGGCGGTGCCCCGGCGCCCTCCCCTCGCCCCGGGCGCAGTAGCCATGGCCGCAGTGGCTGTCCTCCGCAACGACTCCCTCCAGGCTTTCCTTCAGGTCAGTACCAGCGCCCGGGGGCCGGGGCGGCTCGGCCGGCGCCGCGTCCCACCGCCGTGACCAGCGTTGCGCGTGGGCAGCCGGCGCCCGCCGCCTCCCTCCCGGGGCTTCACCCCGCGGGCGGCCCGGGAGAGGTAGGTGGGGACCCCCGCGGGGGCGAGGGGGCCGTGCTCCGGGATCCTCGGGCCGGCAACTTCCCTCTGCCGCCGGGAGCCCGGCGGTAACTCCAGGCAGCGTCCCGGGGCGGCGGCTGCCCCCTGCCCGCAGCGGCCGCTTCCTCCGCGCCCCGGCCCGGGGGAGGCGGCGGCGCCGGCCGCGGGGCGGGGCTGGGGGGGCTCGGCCCGGCGGCTTTGGGGCGCGCTGTTGTCGGAAAGTTTGCCGGCTGTGCGCGGAGCGGCGGCGCGGTCAGAGGCGCGGAAAGTTTCCCGCGGGCGACGCGGCCGATCCCGCGGGGCGGCGGGCGGCAAGTAACACGCTCTCCTCCCTCCTTCCTTCTCTTCCTCCCTCCCTCCCTCCCGCTCCCGCGCAGGACCGCACCCCCAGCGCCTCCCCAGACTTGGCCAAGCACTCACCCCTGGCTCTTCTGGCCGCCACCTGTAGCCGGATCGGACAGCCGGGCGCAGCGCCCTCGGACTTCCTGCAGGTCTCCTACGACCCGACGCTGGGATCCCCCTCCAGGATCTTCCACCCGTGGAGCGGCGAGATGCCGGCGCACTCCCCGGGCGGGCTGCCGCCGCCGCACCCCAGCCTGGGGCTGACCCCTCAGAAGAACCACCTGCAGCCCTCCTTCGGGGGGGCGCACGAACTACCCCTCACCCCCCCGGCGGACCCCTCCTACCCCTACGAGTTTTCCCCCGTCAAGATGCTGCCCTCCTCCATGGCCGCGCTGCCGTCCAGCTGCCCCCCCGCCTACGTCCCCTACGCCGCCCAGGCCGCCCTGCCGCCCGGCTACTCCAACCTGCTGCCGCCCGCGCAGCCCTGCCGGCAGCTCTCGCCCAACCCGCCGCCCGAGGACATCCCTTGGTGGAGCATCCAGCAGGCCGGCGCCCCGGGCGGCTGCGGCCACCGCTTCCCCGCGGCCGCGGCGCTGCCGCGGAGCCTGGTGCTGGGCCACTCGGACTTCGCCCAGTACCAGACGCAGATCGCCGCCCTGCTGCAGACCAAGTCTCCCCTGGCGGCCACGGCCAGGAGGTGCCGCCGCTGCCGCTGCCCCAACTGCCAGTCGGCCGCCGGCAGCGCCCCGGAGGCGGAGCCGGGCAAGAAGAAGCAGCACATCTGCCACATCCCCGGCTGCGGGAAGGTGTACGGCAAGACCTCGCACCTGAAGGCGCACCTGCGCTGGCACACGGGCGAGCGGCCCTTCGTCTGCAACTGGCTCTTCTGCGGGAAGAGCTTCACCCGCTCCGACGAGCTGCAGCGGCACCTGCGGACTCACACGGGCGAGAAGCGCTTCGTCTGCCCCGAGTGCGGGAAGCGCTTCATGCGCAGCGACCACCTGGCCAAGCACGTCAAGACCCACCAGAACAAGAAGCTGAAGGCGGCGGCGGACGGCGTCAAGCGGGAGGACAGCCGCGACCTGTGACCGCCGGGCGGCGGGGACTCGGGCGGAGGGCGCCCCGCAGACGAGGAGAGGGCGGCCGGCTCCCGGACTCGCGTCGGGCCCGGCGAGCAGGAGCTCGGCTGGGGGCGGTACCGGGAGGAGACGCAGCCCCCTCGGCCCCGGGACCGAACGCTCGCAGGGCGGCGAGGCCGCCGTCGCGCCCCCCCGTCCCGGGCCGGGCGCCCTCCCTACCCCGGGGCGCGGCTGAGGGGAGGTGGCCGCCGTCGGGGCGGGAGCGGAGCCGCCCCGGCCGTCCGGGGCTCGTGGGCGCCCGGGAGTGGGGCGGCAGCGTAGGGCCGGCCGGCCGTCCCGGGGCCCGGCCCCCGCTGCTTTCAGGGGAAGAGACTGAAGTTTTGTGTACAGGTTATTTAATAGTTCTGTTTGAATACAAGTGTTTCTCTCCTCGTCTTCGGCCCCGTGCCGAGCTCCAGCATGAGATGTTTCTGTAAAGCGAGCCGCGACTGCAGCGTGAAATAAACACGTTAACACTGGGGTCACGCAGGGAAGGTCCCACCGCGTGGGTTTCATTCGATCGCCCCCCCGCGGGCTCCCCCCGCCCGCACAGCGCCGGGCCCCGCCGCGCGCGGCCGCCGCCTTCCCGCCATTTCCCGCTGAGGCGGCGGCGGGCGCTGAGGCGGAGGGCAGGGACCGGCTTCCTCGCCGCGGTCAAGCGGAGCTCAGCACACGGTGACCTGGGAGCTGCTCATGGTAAACACGTTTAAAATCCTTAGTTTCTTCGGACTGATGTTGGCCGTTCGGTTTGGGTTTGAGTTTTTAAATTATTGTCATTATTTTGTTTCCTACACGTGAAGCCGTGAGGGGCAAGAGAAACACAGGGGGCCAGTACTGGGAGTGAACATACAGGTCAAGTGCGACAGGCTGGGATATACATTTGAGCGGAGGTGGGCTGCAGTCAAAGTTAATAATGCCCCTTCTCAGAGAGGTCCAGGCCTGTGACAACCAGCCATTCCCAGTTCGGAGTTGTCTGTGGCACAGCACAGCCAAAACATACTTTCCATATGTTAACTTCCTGTAAAATTGCAGAATTTAAGGGTGAGACTCTTGTTATCCTCCCAGTGTGACGAAATGGCAGTCACTCTCCCACACAGGCGAAGATATTTGGCACAAAACTGTGTTTAAAAGTACTTCGTAGACAGTGACAGCTCTCAGGGTTTGTGCTTTCTCATTGGGCATCACGTAAGTATGAGTTTAGGCATACTTGCCAAGAATTTAGGCAAATTTATTTTAAAATAATGACCTTTTTAACAGTAGCATGCTCCCTACATCTTTTTTTTTTTTAACTGAAATTTTTATACAACAAATGAGGAATTTGATTAGTAATTTGCCAAATTTTACATTTTAACATAGAGAATATGTTATTTGCTCCTTATATTTTTGCCAAGTCAGCTTTATTTTCTGGTTACCTAATGAGACAGCCAAATAAAAAGTGCCGTCAATACTTCACTGGGACAAATCTGGAACCAGTCAGCCTCAGGTGGGTTCCTCTGGTGGCAGTTGTCAAACAAGCTTCAGCACAACCATAATGATAGATACACACTTTGCCATGTATGTCTGAATCAAGAAAAGCAGCAGCTCGATAAACATTTGTAATGACAGAACGTGTAAAACTGATGTGTTTGTGTGTGTGTCAGATACTGCAAAGAATCTCCTCTCAGGAAATAATGAGACAACATCACCAGAACTCTCACATCTGAAATAATGAGAAGTTAATGGGCAGTTACCATGGTACAGCTCCTCAACCATATTTTAATGTTTATGATTCTGAATTAATTTCCCACACCATATTCTTAGGGTCAACTTATTAAATTAATAACCGAGCAGTTATCCTCTTTACTACTGAAGAATCTTCTATAACCTGTCCTATTACAGAAAGCCTTCTGAGAAATATGTTTAGCTTCATTGGTTAGCATTCTTTTGCCAAATATTTAGGCTGTAGAAGCATGTTATTGAAGGATATTAAGTAGAAGATACCTTTAGTGTTCCAGAACAAGCAATAGCAATGCAGGAAATAACTGATGGACCCGATCCAGAAGTCCACACTCAAAAAAGTTTTTTGAGACAAAAGTGCATCCTATTTACTACTGGCATATGATCTAAATATGTCATCAGGAATAACATAGTGTTTCTGCTTTTTAAAATGTTTCACAGTATACAGTGGCAAGCTGCTTCCTTTCTTTGATATTAAGATACATTAAGAATGTAGTGTTACAGAATTCAGGACTGGTTTAAGTTTGTTTCACTAAATAATTATGTGTTCAGATCAGACCTACTTAAAATGGAGAGTAATGGAAAGTGCTTTTGTTGGTAGCAGTAGAGGGGAAATGACAGTATCCCAGAGTATGAAAGGTCCACTTACAGGATAGACTAATGGAGTTGGATGTTGCCACACGGTAATGGCCCTTCACTGCTAAGTGAGTGCCAAGATCAAGATGAAGTATTAATGTGAGCTGAAGCACTATATTAGATGGTTTCTGGCACAAGTTTAGCCCGACTAAGAACTAGAGAACCCTTCCTATTAGAGCAGATGTAACTAGCAGAAAATAGCCCAGTAATTGTAGATATAATGATTTCCAAGCTGGACCGTTATGGAAAAAGATTTTTCTCTAGTTGGAAGACAAACTGAATTTACCCAGCACCTATGTTGTCTGGTCTAGCCAGAGTATTTTGGGTTCTTACTCATTCCTTAAGACAAACTTTTACTGAAATACTGGAAGTTTTACCACTCACTTAAGTATGAGCCTGCAAGTAATTTAGGTTTTAAGCAAATGACCATAGCCCAGGCAGTGCCAGCATCATGGCGAGGGGGTGGTAGTATCTGATTAAAAAAAAAAAACAAAAAAACCCCGTGGTGATATGTTGTAACTGATGTACCTTGTATGGTATCTGTATAATGACTACATTTAAAGCATGAAAGTGCACAGGTTAAAAATACGTGCACTCAAAATTAAATACCTGTCATGAGAGAGAGATGTATTTAAATGAAAACCCATGATATTAAATACTACTGAAAATCTTAATCTCTGAGAATAGTACAAAAAAAAAAAAAGGGATTTATGACACAAGGTAAGTAGAAGTAACAGTTTAGAATATAAAAAATATTAAATGAAGCATTATTTCTCTCTAAAGCTTTTAAATAGTTCATTGGAAAAAGAGGGCATATCCACCATAGCTGTTTCATATTCATCTCTAAATAGCTAAATCATATGATAGCTTTTCAATTGAAATCATTAAACTTTTATAGTAATATGGCATTTAAATACACATGTGACCTTTCTGATGTATGGGTAGAGCGTTACAAAAATATATTGCTTACATCTCAAGAATTTATTTCTAGTTGGCAAATTGCACTCTATAATAAAATTAACTTTTAATTTTGCATTCACAAAATACATTTTACACTTTTAGCTGTTTCCAATCAACTAGAACAGCTGTTCATTTTATAAAATTAAATGATTAATATTCTTTTTAATTATACATTTTGAGTACATATGCTGCTCAAGGTCAATTCATTTCTGAATTTTAAATCTTAAATGTCACTGGTATAATAGACACATCATATAAACTAATTCATCTTGTAGTTAATTCAAATTAATTAATCGCTACCAAAAAATTGGGATACGGTTTAAAAACTTGAGAATTGGCATGTTTTCTGTGTTGAAAAGTGACTTTCACACTTGGACAAACTTCTGAGCAGAAAACATTTAACAAAAAAAAAAAAAAAAACATTGTTCTTCAGATAGGTTTTTTTTTTAACTTGTTGTTAATCAAATTATTTTTAGTTGAGAGCCAAATAGAATAAGACTTTCACCCAGGAGAAGATTGCAGGATTCACCTTTTGGTCCTGACTGACCAGATTCTCACTGCAATAATTAAAAATATTTATCAAGTTATGTTTCTTAGCTCCTCAACTATTATTATAGAAAAAGTAGGATAAAGGGGTTTTAAACTGTATTGGGATTTGTCCTTCCTAAAACCATCACCGTCTGGTTTTTCCTTCTGTACTAAATTATAGATATCATTTTTGACAGAAATATTTTATCTTAAATTATTTGAAGATTTTGAGAGATTGCATTAAGTTTTAAAGTAACTATAACTTCACTATTTCAATTTTTAAATTCTCACCTATATCTAATACTAGGCTCGAAAACTAAAGAAATAGGGAATATGAAATGCTGATGTCTTGAAACCCTTGAATAAGAGATACGTTTTACTTTTCAGCGATATTTGAGCAGACCACTCAAAAGTTCATAAATACAGTAAATTTATATCTCTATGCAAGTAGTTGCACAATTATTGAGGCACTTTTAAATGAGCCTTGTAACATTTAATAGAACTTGTCAGCTTATCCCCATACTGAGTGGTGAGAAATAAAAGTATAATGCCTAGCTTATTATCAGATCTTATGGTTTGCTATAGAATCTTTTTTTCTCTTTTATAGTCTCCAATGATTTTACACTTTTTATGAGATTCTTGTGAATCTTCTGGTAAAAATGTGGGGTCTCCTGCTCCAGCACATGATGGAGTCAACTCAAAGAACTCTTAGATTTTCCTGCCAAACTATTTAAAAAAACTTACCAAGCAGGTTCCCTAGGTCTTCGAGACTACTGAACTTGAAAGCAAAGTTTTCCTCCAAAGGGATTGCCTAGCAGGTATCTTCAAAAACTTTGCATTTAAACAGCATCCAAGCCACCAAGGACCTGGAAGTGTTCAACAACCAGCAAGGCTCACAACTGTCAGGTAAGTGTTGATGTGCAGTACAGAGAAGAAGGATCCAAGGCCCTGGGCTGATTGAATGAATAGTCTTGATCAGAGATAATAAGCAGAAGTGCATGTAATACAAAGGCTCTTTTAAATAAGTTTATGGGTTTTATTCCCTGTTAATATTTACTCCCAACTGATTTGAAGTCATATAGGTGTTCCATTATGGATAATGAAAACCAAAGAAAACATGTATTTTGACCTTGTGACTGTGACAATCAGTGGAAGATTACGGATAGTGAGATTTGGCCTTTAACCTGGAGGCCATCAATCCTGTTTTTCTTCTCACCATCTCTTAATTTTTTTGCAATACACATTTACTTAAGTATACACAAAATCCCAGCATGTCCCTGACCCAGGTCTGGTGATTCTATCACTGCTTAGCCACATTAATGGGAGCCCAGTCTGAGGCTGTGTACAAATCCAGTGTGCTCACCGAGAGGGGTTACGGATAGCCACTCAAGGGCGTGCAGGTACATACTAGGGGTTCGTCTTCTCTGCAGGTGGCTGTGCGGTGAATCCCATGCTGAGAGGTACTGAAGTTAGTGGCCAACAACTCTTAAAGAAGTGGAGAGTTTGTACTGAGGTGTGAACCAAATCATTATTCGCTGAACACTTTAAATGCACTCTTTAATGGTGCAGAGGCCTTGTACAGAGTCTGTATATGTTGAGATTTCTCCATTAGTTGTAGTAAGACTAAAATTTCCTTTCATCTAATCGAA